GTCGATTTAAAAACAGTAGTCCTATAACTAAATTTAAAGTATATCATTTAAAACATAACCTTATTGATGTATTTCATTTAAAACAAGATTTAGAAAAATTCAGTTTGTATATAAATTTGTATCTACTTTGGAAGAATAAGGCTCACCTAGGTTCCAAATACTTTTTAAGTTCTCTTGTCTGAAGAGAGATAGTTCTGCTTCCTGTAGACTAAAGCACGTCCTAAAGCAATTCTTTTTTTTTTTTTTTTCTTAGCAGAGTGTCTGAGTTCTGAAAAGGTTTGTTTGTAAGAAACAATTTGCTAGAGCCCGTTTGTTTCTCTTAGCCTTCACACGTATCCTAGGATGCACTTATAGGGAGTTGTTTGCTTATTTGTTTGTTTTCATCTGTTTTTAAGTGTCTGTTAGTAAGCTACAGTGTACATCCTTAAGATTCTAGTTTTACAAGTGATATATTTTTTTAAACAAAAATAAAGAATGCTCGAGAATGTTTTTCGAAAGTACCCAACTGTTACGGCTTGATCTCACTTTCACAATCTCTGACTGCTCTGTCCTCTACTCTCCTACAAGGATTTATCCCTGTTACAATCAAATGTATGTTCCATAATCCGGTGTTGAGCAGAATTTACCAGTTCACCCTCCTAACCTACATTTACCAAAGGGCTAAAGCAATAAAAGCAAAAACAGAAGCATTTTATTTGATTGCGGCACGTAAGGAAATCTGATTATTCACGTTTGAAAAGAGAGCCCCATAGACTTTATAGACGGGCCACCCAGGGCGAAGGGAGGTTCTTTCTATTCCTAGAGACAGGATCCCTCTGCGCCACTAAGCTACTCCCAGACAGCCGAGAAGCACACACTTGTAAAGGGCACTTCGGAGACAATATAAGCTTTCAGTTCCAATATTCGATAACCTTCTCCATCCAGAAATCCTCCTTAGAATCTAATCCATACACCCTACTCCTCTTTTTAAACCATTTCCCGCTGGTTCCGTCCGGAGTGAAGACTGAAACGAGCTGGCCACCACCGTCGGAACAACGGCCCTTTATGCCAGCGAAAACTTGAAATAAAGCTCACCTGTACCTTCTTTTTATTAGACCCTTCCAGATCTCTTTTCGCCTTTGTTTGTAAGTTTCCTTTCAATTTACGTGTTTTATTCACAAGTCCCAGAGCCATATTTGTGAAACCGTAAATACTCACGAATTGAAGGAAATAAAACTTCAGCNTTCAAAATACCTAGATGAAAATAAGCTCTAAGGAGCTGATCATGATGATGATATGTTTCTACCTTAAGGAGGGAATTAGGACTTTCAAAATACCTAGATGAAAATAAGCTCTAAGGAGCTGATCATGATGATGATATGTTTCTACCTTAAGGAGGGAATTAGGACTTTCAAAATACCTAGATGAAAATAAGCTCTAAGGAGCTGATCATGATGATGATATGTTTCTACCTTAAGGAGGGAATTAGGACTTTCAAAATACCTAGATGAAAATAAGCTCTAAGGAGCTGATCATGATGATGATGATAATTTTACTTCTTGTGCCTCTAGAACAAGCAGGACATGCTGCATGTGGCAGGCTCCCAACCCTTGGGCATCCACAGCCCTCTTGGAGGAAGACGAGTATCTAAGATATTATGATGTAACAAACACGAGAGACTAGGGGTTCGAGCCTAACTCTGCAGGGTAAGGGTGGCAAAGAAAAGGCCGAGAAAGATTTCAATGAGATGAAGTCTAAACTGAGTCTGGAGTAGGAGGTTCACCCGGCTGCAAAGCGAAGGCAAAACCTGTTAAAGCGAAATGAACAGGCGAAAAGGCAAAGAGTTGACTGTGTGTGAAGAGCTGAAAGGCTCCATGGGCTCCCCCCCAGACAACAGGGAGGGATGGGTGCCAGGCCGGCCGGAGTTGAAACTGAGACGGCATCGGGGCTTAGCTTATAGAACCAAGAATTAGGGCTCTGTCCTGAAGGACGTCTCGGGAGAGAAATAGCAAAGTCAGACGGTTGATGCCTCTGCAGAGAGTGGACGGGAGGGGGGGGGAAGCTGAAGGCAAGGACGCCCCTGGAAAGGCCGGTTCACAAGCTCCGTCGAGGCAGAATGTGGGTGTGAACTAAGGCAGTGAACAGGGAAGGGCATGAAATCAGGGTAATTTTAAAAGGTAGAACCGACAACTTGGTAAGCCATTTAAGGGTAATGGTAAAGAACTGGGAGGACTGGGGAGCAATCAAAGGTTTCCATCGTGGGGGGCGATGTCATCAGCTTAGAAAGGCAACAGAAGTAGGAGATGCTGCTGGTCAGGGAAAGGAATGATCTCAACACTGGCCTTGCCGAGTGTGACCGGTCTGTGGGCCAGCACACTGAAGGCTGAGCACACTGAAGGCTATGTACACTGAAGGCTGAGCACACTGAAGGCTGAGCACACTGAAGGCTGAGCACACTGAAGGCTGTGCACACTGAAGGCTGAGCACACTGAAGGCTGAGCACACTGAAGGCTGAGCACGCTGAAGGCTGTGTACGCTGAAGGCTGAGCACGCTGAAGGCTGAGCATGCTGAAGGCTGTGTACACTGAAGGCTGAGCACACTGAAGGCTGAGCACACTGAAGGCTGTGCACACTGAAGGCTGAGCACACTGAAGGCTGTGCACACTGAAGGCTGTGCACACTGAAGGCTGTGCACACTGAAGGCTGAGCACACTGAAGATGGGGGTTGCTGTGTAAAGGCTGTTTCATGCCGACGCCCAGCTGAGGGCTGAGAGGCTGTGTCCTTCCACCTGCACGAAGACCCCGTGGTGGACCGGGGCAGAAGGCCAGTGGACCGGGCAGAGTGGAGACCCCGGCCAGAGATCACAGTGCAGGAGACACAGCTACGCAGAACTGCGCTGGCCACCACAGTAGCCAACAGCCACGTGTGTCTATATAAAGTCAAGATGATCACATTTAAAAATGCACGGCAGTCCCATTAGCCACATTTCATGCACTCAATGGCCACTGCGGTCAGCGGCTACTGTACAGAATGGGACAGATACAGGTTCTCCCATCATCACAGAAAGTTCTAGGGGACTGTGCTGCCGTTAACACACGTGAGATAAGCGGAACAGTTTGGGGACAGAACCCCAGGAAAGAGAAGGCAAGGAAGGCGAGTGGAGTGAGAGGGAGGAATCAGAGGAGTAAAAAGAGAAAGGGGGGGGAATCATACCACTGTGACCAAGAGCAGAGAGTTCAAGGAGACAAAATAGTGAACAGGGAAAACTAAAAAGTGGTCAATTTAGAAAAGGAGTTAAAAAAGAACAACTTTAAGGTAGTTATTTTACCCTGGCATTTGGCATAGTGTTGGAATCATTACCAATTTTTCAGATGTAAAATGACTCAATGAGATGAATGCTCCCACTCAGATGACAGGTTTAGCTTTTAGAAAGAACTCAGAACCCCACAGGAAGGGAAATGTTGGAAATATGACCATTCCCTTCCCACACTTTAATGAAGGGGAGGCCTTGCCTAGCCCTCAGCTATCCTTAGCTATCATCCTTCTGGGAGTTTCTAAGAGTCTCTAATTAAGGTCTAAATCATTGCTGTATAGGTTTCTTGAAATCGAATATCTAATAATTATATTCAGACATCAAGCAACACACAATTCTCTGCTCATATCAAAAATCAAGCTGATAGAACAGCAGTTACCAGGGGCTGGGGGCAGGGTTGGGGGGGAGCGAGGAGTCATTTTTTAGTAAGTGCTACAGAGCTTCACTATGGGGTCATGAGAAAGTTCTAGAGATGGGTAGTATTGATGTTTGCACAACAATGTGAGTGCCACTTAACTGCACATTTAAAAATCGTTAAAATGGCAAATTTTCTGTTATGTGTATGTTACCACGAAAGGAAAAACTATTTTTAGTGAAGCTGACCTAAAGCATTTAAAATGCGAGAGACTCTGGAAGAAACCTCTTACAAGTCTTGACACACAGGACATTGAAGATACCAAACATAAGAGTTGAAAACAATGCTCACAAACATCTGGTCCTTGAAGTAACTTAGGTATTTGTGTTAGATTTATGATATTAGGTGTGAAATATGGGTTTGATAAGTTGCAAGGTGATACCGCCCCTTGTGAAAATGTCAGTGGTCTAGGAAAATGAAACAAGTTAGAGCTTTAAAAATGGTGCTAACAGAGCAACAATGTATTAGATCAGTTTCATAATCAAGATGGAATTTATACCCTTTTCTTTACTATTTGCACCTCAGGTCAATAGCCTGCAGAACAGCAAAGCATAAATATCAGAAATAATCACTCCCCCCTCTCCCCCCCCAGGTAACCATGTTTGCAGCACAGGCCAAATGCTCACTCTGCAATTATTAGGAGGGAGAGGAACCAAGAATCACTCCTCACGCATTCTCTGACATTCAGGCCTGGCAGCAAGACTTAAGGAAAGAAACACTGAAGGAATCCTAAGAAAAGGCAATGGCTGCTTCCATTTCTGTTACTGCAACCAGGGACAGAAAACAAGGCTAAAAATTAAATCAACGCAGGCAAAAGTTCATTCATGAATGCAAAAAAAACAATAAGCCAATGAATGCCTGGCCCAGAATTTTTATAAGTTACATAGTAATAATTTCATACGGATTTTAACTACTGACTGTCTCCCATCAGCATCCAGACTTTTCCTTGTGAACATCCCGAGAAACTGGAAGTAACCACTTGCACATTGATGGATCTCCCCCCCTCCGTTTCTTCTCCAAGGATACTGACCAAACACAGGGAACAGGACCATCTTTTAATTAAATCAATTTTCCTTAGCTACTGTTTGGAGCTCTGTTCAAATCATACAGGGATTCTACTTCTAATGGTGTCACAAGGTGACAAATAAAATCACCTGGTGAATGCAAGCTAAAAAGGCATTGACACAATGCAAGAACAGACACTGGAAGTGGAAACAAACCAAAGAGAAAGAATGAAAGAAGGAAGGAAGGAAGACAGAGAAAAATTAAGTGATGAGTCAAACTATACTTACAACTTTCAGCCTGATAGTCTGGCACAAACTGCTCATCATTGTCAGGTACCTGAGCTGAAGGAAAAAAAAAAATTGAAAAAAAAATTAAGAGAAAAACTGCCAAGACATAAGGAATGTCAAGTAAGATCTTTCTTCCATGTCAGATATTTTTAGGCTGAGATAAAATGTACTATTATTTGCCAATGAGTTTCTATTTGAAATGGTATTGACAGCAATACTTTGGAGGGGAGGCAGAAGAGATCACTGATGTCAACTAGAAAACATATATGTCAGAAATATAATGGTGGCAGTCCCTCTGGATTTCACCTGCCGGTAGAAAAGACATGTTCAAAATAAAGGAAGCCATAGCATTTCTATTACCTGCAGTGTTTTTTTGCAGGTAAAAGGCATACGTTTAGAGTAAAAGTTTTTCCAATTTACCCACTGCCAGTGCTTAAGCAGCCCATTTAAAGTAACCACATAATTCTTTCCAATAACGTGCAATTATTACACACATTTCTCTGCTTTCTAGAAATGTCTGATTTTGGTAAGTTCCATCTACTGCAAATTAGACTCCCATAATTTAAAATGTTTGCCCTAACTTTGGCCAAAATATGCAACAAAGTCTCTTAAATTCTTGTCACTAATTTTGGTCATCTGTTATAAAATGTTATATAATTCAATGATTATGGTGATAATAAAACAAATAAACTCCATCTTTAAGTGCAAAATATTTTCCTGGTCACTATTTAGCAGTAACAAAAAGAGTATCACTATTTCATCAGTCCTAATGTCAAATGACTTCCCTATTTTTAGTGAGGAAAAAATTATGGAATAGCAAGGACTTGATGCATTTGGCAACAATCAAAACACAAGTCAACGTTTTCAATTCTACACTATTTTCATCATGGTCGATTTAGACATCGAAATAACCTGTTCCAATTCGACAGAGTATCACAAAAACAAGTTCTCACATGCACACAAATGGGTACACTCACACATATACAAACTACATAAAACAGAAGTTAGGTTACTTTTAATTTGGTTAAAGCGTGATGAGTGATCACCCTAATTAAGTTTAGCTGGCATCTGATTAGCTAGTATTACTTTACTAATATTATGTAATACTGAAACTTTTTATCCAATCAAGTCATATTTAAACAGATGTCAATTGATTTTTTAGAAAGAGCCTATTCTGTACGGGGGAAATGATTATTAAAATAATCAGTCTCTGTTAAAAAAAGTTTTGGGTTGCTAATTCAATTGAGTTAAGAAAAACTGTACATAAAAAGAAATTCTATATTTAAAAATTCTAATAAAAAAGGATTACAACATACTAATTAAAGGTTCTTTTTACCAGCTTATTTAATAATATTTTTTAAAACAGAATTATTTGGCTAAATAAAATTTATGTTATATTATTAAGAACAGAACCAATGATAATGTTGCCTATTATCAAAATATAAGCAGTCTGACATCCATTTTCTAAAAACTTCTTCTGTACACTAATACTTAAGCTTATTAAAAACAAGTTCCATTCTCTGCCACAAAATGAAACCAAACAAATTAAGAACGTTTTCCAAATGATGACTGATGCCTACTTCTTCAGCCTGTATTTGAAGAAGTATATTGTCTTCCTATTCCACTAATATCTGATACTTAACTAACTAAAGTCATGCAAACTCCAAATAGAATCTATGACTTGCTAGCTATGTAAACTGTGTAACATTATTTAACCTCAGTGAACTCCATTTTTACTCATCAGTTTGATAGTGATAATAGAGATTCTCTGTGAGGATTAAATAAAGTATTCTAAATAAAATGCCAGAAAATGCCAAATACTCAAGAAATGTTATTTTCTTCTTTCCACCACCCACTCATTTTTTCCCATTTCACTCACAATAAAACTGCTTCAATCATTACCACGCAAGTTTAATACCTTTACTTCTAATGAATTCTATTGGACATGGAGAAAATGAACAGCTAAAATTTGTATATTAGCATTTTCTTAGCTATCAACATTTTTCTTGCATTGCAGTGAGCTTGAGTTTCCACATAGACTCACAAATTATAACTGGAGGAGTACCCTTTAAAATAAGTCTCCACACCAAAAAATTACAAAAATGTTTTTAATACCTATTTAATAAATAACAGCAGGTAGACAGAATCAAATCCCACATATTTTTTCCATCATATCCACATGTTTTGGTTTTCCTTCTAAATTAACAGCTAAACAGACATAACTATTGAGATGCAAAAATTATCAACCACAGCAATTATGCTTTTAAGAAGCCAACATTTACAAGAACCTAATAAAAATGTAATATCGTTTTACAGGAATAGTTAAAAATAGCTGCTGAGTAACAAAAGTATATTTGTAACTGAAGATGCTGGTATGAATGTCCTAAAGGCCAGACTTTTTTTTTTTCTTTCCTTACTATCATAAGACAAAGTTGCAGCTCCACAATATATGTCACTTCAAGAAAGGCATGGAAATCTCTGATGGATGTGAGGTGTGTGTTGGGATATATATGCAAAGAAAAGGCAAAACTCTAAGAGCAGAAGAAACTAGAAGTTATCCCTCACAATTTTACAGAAAACAGCTGCATACTAGCAATTTCTAAGAAGAATAAAATTTGCTATTTCTGTTCTAGCTCTTTAACATACCAAATAAGTACTTCACACTTATGCTTCAACATATTACAGAATTTTAACAAAAAAACACATGACTCACATTTGTCACAGAAGCTAATCTTCAGAAACCCAACAGACCCAAAGCTGCAGGCCACTTAAATAGACAAAGACTCAAGTCTACCTCTAATTTGAAGTTAGAGTAAAAGGAAAGCAGTTAACAAAAAACACAAGTTGGATCTGGGCAAGGAAAATATGACAAAGTATTGCCACACTCGGAGCATACGTTTCCTTTCTTCCCCAAACTATAGCTGCCTGAAAATTTGTGACAAGTCATACTAACTGCAAAGTGGAAAATTAACAATAGAGGCCAGGCTAAAAAAAAAAAAGTGTATTTCCCCCCCCCACCACCACTATCTATTATAAACTACGCCTGGAATAATCGCCTTTGAGGAATGAAAACGTTTCCACACACTCTGTAATTAAAGAGGAAGGGGAAGGGCAGGGAAGGAACAGGAGGAAGCATATACCAGAAGGCCAATAAAAGGCTTTCAAGAAGATTAAGCGTGTGGATTTTATTGGTAATAGCCCGAGCGGCTCTATCAGATCATTGCACGTTAATAGACAAGTTGCCATCAAGTCTCAGGACTTGGGCTTTAAAAGGAGAGTAGCTGCACTCTCAGCTCTTTGCTTTCCTTAGATTATTAGCCAAAGTTGTTTCTCTCTCTCTCTTTCCACATAGCAACACATATCACGATAAAGAAACTGATGAAAACAGTGATCATGACCCAGATGTCCCAGAATCCCTAACCCTCATGTTTCATTTTAATATACTTTCTTAACATTTCCAAGGCGGGGAGGGGGGGGGGATGATTTTTAAATAGTTTCCCTTTATTTTATGGGTATCTTCTATTTTAAGAGAAACCCTTGGGTTTCTCTTNGGATGATTTTTAAATAGTTTCCCTTTATTTTATGGGTATCTTCTATTTTAAGAGAAACCCAAGGGTTTCTCTTAAAAAGTGAGGGAGAAAAGTGGAAAAATTACAAATGAAACCGATGTCAAGTATAAAAGGGGTTAATGTTTAATTAAAACCAGTTCTATCCACTGTAACAATGACCCGGAGCCAAACAAGGCGGAAGATGTATGAGTCATTCTTTCTGCCCGTGAATGAGACAGCTGATCTCCTCAGCAATTCCTCCAGACGAGCAGGCAGAGCTGGAGTTCTGCCTCCATTCACAAAAACACAGTCCAGCATGAGCCATGTGGCCCAACCACAATCTTTTCAAGTCACACCCTTCCCGAGAGCTGGAGCAAGTCAACTTGAACTTGCAGCATAAACACAAGTTTACTGCTCTATCTCCAGCACCGTTCAGATCCACTAAGGTACACATTTAAAGAAACGACAAGTTTAAAATATGAATTCCATGCATTATACTTAACCCTTCCCACTTTGTAGGGTAACTTATCACAGATGCGTAAATGTAGAACACAAAAAAGGCAGGCAGGAAAGAGGCAAAGAGAAAAAGATGAAAGGATGGAAGGAGGGAGAAAAGCTCTTTAAATATGCCTTTTTTTTCCCTTCTTTTTCTGGCCTGTTATTCAAAGTTTCTGTATCCTAAGATTATAACAGATTACTGCTGACTTTGTAGTATTACACTTTGAACAAAGGGTTAAGAACAACTTTCTCCAAAGAAATTTAAAGTAAAAGTAAAACAAGAAAATCAACCTTCGCGTAGCGGTATTCTGTTCAGTGCTAAAATGAGGCTTCAGGCCATGGAATAAAATAATCATGAGGCCACTAAGCCTGTTTTTATACCACATCCGCTTTTAATATTAAAATGATTGTACCAATGTATAAGCATTAATTAATGCAGAAGTATAAACATATTCAAACAGACAAATAAGGGGGGGTATTTTCTCATAGCAGAAACATCTTTTAATACTTGATAAAGACATTCTATATGCTCTAAAAGAAAAAGAAAAAAAAGAGCAAGTTTTAGTTGTTTTTAGTCTCCAATTAGCTTCAATTCTTAACTCTAAACTGACCTATAGTGACGTAAAAACTTATGGAGAGCTCAGAGCTCGTTTCTAGCCAAATATTTTCTCTAGCACTACAGAGGTCTGATGATGATGATGATTTTTTTATTATAAGTTTATACACAGATCAAATGGAATAAAGTTACATCATAAACTTCAAAAAATTATACATTTTCAGTAACTGAACTATAAAAGCTTAGCAATATTTCATAAACATTTATTACAGCCCTCTGGAAAAACTGTATTATGCTGCGAAAACAAATCCAAATTCTATTCTTGAAAAACATTTTTATTTTGCAAGTAGACCCTCGATGAAAGGTATTTATATAATTCCAATGAATATTTAGAAACACAATGCATCACTCTACCTGCTCTCTTTTAATCAAGTACAAAGGAGAAATATTTCACATTTTAGAGAATTTCCTGGTACAACGCAAAGAGGAGTAGCCCCCAGAAAAAAAAAAAAACTCTTGCTCAATTCTGAGAAATAGTATAGACTTCTGCAATCCAATGCTTAAATTTTCAATTCTTTTTTTTTGTAAACCTCATAAAAATAATGCCATTTTAAAGCTTTCAAACACACATCCGATTTATGTTCCTTTTTAAAAAGTTACAGTATAGTTTTTGAAAAACGAAAATAGCTTACGATTGTTGAACACTGTTGGATAACAGTGTGTATAACATGTTATTTAAGAACCTCTGTAATAAATGACTTTGAATATAAACAGTATCAGTCACTGGAGTGAATTGAGATAATATTCTCTACTTTTCCAAGTAGAGACGTCTCTACTTTTAAGTCAACCCTATTATTACTTGAAGGTCACGTAAAACAAAAGAAAAAAAGAGCCTTATCTGCATGAGATAAGGACCTCTGGTGTAGAAAGGTTGTTCTTGGAGATAACACTTTGACTCAACCCTGGTGGCAGCCTGGAACCTGACTTACTACGACACCACTGGGAAAGATTTTACCCCGATGGCAGCGAACCAATGCTGACTTTTTCCCTTAATATGACTGAGGAAAGGGAATCTCAAGACCATCTGGGCTGACAGCAAAAATAACATTCAAAAGTAGCTATGGAGTTACATTAGGTATGTATGCAATGTATGATTCCTCTCTTGGTTGTGTTAGCAGGTAAGCTCTAATAACAAACTTTAGAAGAGTGCAGTCCTTTTAAAACTCAGTTTTATACCCTTCTCTTTCTGTCCCCTACACACAACAGGGTCCGTGGAACTACGAATTGCAGGACACCATTCGCCGAAGCGCCACTTAAAACAGGTTGTTAAGAATAAGACGTGGCCACGATGTGGACAAGATTGATATCTGAACTCATTATTTCGTGGGATCAAATAATTGAAATTGCCTTTCTGTCAGTAGCAATCTATTTCAAAAGACAAAGAATCAATAAAGAATTGTACATAGTTACTATTACAATATAAAATAGCTATAGCAAAATTTAAAATAGGCCTCTCTCTTTTTTTAACTGCTACTGTGTCACTGGAAACATTACCTTTTTAATTTTCTTCAGGATGAAATGTGGTTATTTTTAATAGTGGCATATATGTTAAAAATCTTTATAAACTGCAGTGTTAGTACTTGGAAAGTGATACTAATAAAAAGTTATAGTCTCCACAAACATATTTTTGATCTCTGGGAATGCATTTTATGAGAGAATGGAATTCTATTTTTAGAGATAACTAGTGAATTGAAAAAAACTGGTTCAAACCCCACCCTCAAATAGTCATGCCTTATCCCAATTTCTCCTTAGACATAAAACACATTTCTTACTCCGTAATAATTTGCTTATAACTAATCTATATGTTGCACTTTGGGTCTAATTTATAAAATTCTTATATGTAAAAACAGACACATTAGGATATATCATCTCCCAAGTATTTAGGGACTTTGATAATTTTTTAACATGATTTTCATATGACACATGACAACTAACTTGACTCTCAGGTCCAATAAGATTTTTGGACCTGTTTAACTTCCCAGTGGAATTCTAACTCATGAAAGAAACTGGTTAAATGCCAATGATTTTTTTTCAAAGGGTCAAGATGTTTTAAAATTCCATGGTCAGTTTCTTGGCTACAAAGTATTATGAAAAGAAATATGTAAATGGTTCATATCAGCCAATTTGGCAATGTTTTAATTTCTGGATGTCCAAAGGGACATAAATGGACAAATCCAGCTACGAATAAACTAGTGTAATTTTGAAATCTCTTCTTAGCCAATATTGTTCAAGATGCAAATAAAGTCAAGTTAAAATGCTAATGCCAATATAATTATATACAATTGCTAAAAATAAAAATAAATATGCAATCTACTAACAAATAATAAACAAAACCTCTCTTCTCACTATTATATTTAAAAAAATCATATTAACCACTTTTTGCTTATATCATGAGAAGATAAATTAATGTAAACTATTTTGAAAAATGGTAAAATTATTCTAAAATTCAATTGTATCCATGGTTTGTAAATAGTAGCCCACCGAGGATTAATTCCTGAACTTACTTAACCTTATGAATTATTTTCTAAGCAAAAGTCCATGTTCCTCCAAATACATGAGTCATTTTCTAGGTTTATTTTATATAAAGTAAATGTTCAGATTTGATTTTCAGGTATGTGAATAACTATGAGTAAGAACATTCAGTGCAGAGTTTAAAAAGATAAACTCAGAAATATTATGCAAATTACTTACCCAAGCAACAAAGAAACAAAACAAGTTGAAAGTGTAAAACTGTCCTGAAACTGATTATAAAATGGTAAAAGCCTTTCACAGATTCCACATTTAAAAATTCCAGGAACAGAGCTGCTATGCACATACAAAATCAGCCAACAAGTGCAGACTTGGAATCACTGAGACTTAAACATCTTAAAGAACAAACCAACCTTCCAGGACAATTACAATGGATGTTTTAAGTTATTTTGCATAAGCGAATAAACTCCCTCATAAATGTAATGGTCTCACAACCTTCAACTTTGCAAACTAACAGGAAAAAGTTAATACAAGAACCTCTGCAATTTTTTCTTGAAAAAGTTAACGTTGAAATATATGGTTTATGTTGCAACAATAAGTAATCTGCAATAAGTTTCATTTACAGAGACAAGCAAAATGACCTTTAAATATAACTAAAACTTTTACTAATACTTACCTTTCATTAATATACTGATACAATCACCCTTTTGGAAGGGCTACCAGGAAAGCTACTTAACTTGAAACATTAAAAAAAATATTGCAAAAGCTCTTTGGAGAATTAGAATATCAGCAAAACAAAGAAACTTATTTTACATGCTAACAGCAACTTGATCAACTGCAAGCAAGACCACTGATAAAACACAGCAGTCAGCCCCAAATAGCAATAGCAACCCTGGGCTTCCGTTTAAAGAGACCTTCTCTCTTCTTTTAACCATCTTAAAAATCTGTTCCAAAAAGTGCCTATTTCCCATATAATGTAAAGACAAGAAAAAACAAACACCATTTATACTCAGTGCTTAAATATCTATAATTTTCTTTGCTTTCCACCAAACACATCATAGGATAAAATTAGTATTTCACATTTATTAGGATAAATCCAAAAGAAAAATTTCAAAGTATGACCACCAACAGAAGTTCCTCAACATTAGGCATTTCTCAAGTTGTATAAAGCTGTACTGAAACAATATCTCACTGTTCCTATAAAATAAACTTTACACAATAAAAGGTACAATGGATTGCAACACAGATTTTTAGCAAAAAGTAATAAAAAATATGTCATGCCTTTAAATGTCTCCTTGCTATATTAAATAACTCCTAATAAAAGTAACATAATAACAAAGGTAAATTTCAACAAACATCACATAACAGTAACAAATAGAAAACAGTTTCAAATTCCTCAAAGCCCCCAAAGATATGTTTTAAAGCCATAGATTTCCTAAGAATTGAATACACACCTATCGTTCTGTGCTGTGAACAAGGTGGAAAGAAGACACTTGCACTTAAATCTTGAAGCATCCCGTCCTGATGAACCCAGAGAAACTAATTTCTGCCATCAGAAAAGTCCTCCACCAGAACACCAAATAATGATATGCGCTGCTCTGAAGGAAACAGCTAGCCCGGGTTCTGGCTCTAGGAGGTCTCTCGAGGTACAATAATATAAACCTGATCAATTGCAATTAAAATCTGAACAGAGGCTTAGAACTTGAAGTCTTGGTGCATTAGTTCTTGCCAAAAGCAGATGTGATTGTGAGCTGGAAGCAATTTCTCCTGGTAATTTGTGATGACACTGGGTAGTACAGCCCCAGATTCCCCAAAGACAAACTCATCAGAGGCTCTAATGTATGCATGACACATGAGGTGGCTCTTTTAGAGCTCAATTAATTGGGCTGAACATTAAGACAGCAAGTTCAGGACTTTTTTTTTTTCCCCTTCTAGAGTTGCTTTTCCCCTCCCTTTAAAGCAATTTTTTTTGCCTTACCTTCTGCAAGCCATGTTTCCTGTAATTGACTTAGATCTTGAAAGAGTTCTAAAAAACAAGGCAAAGACATAAACAAAAGATTTGCAAACCTTTAGGTTTCATAACATTTGGTCATAAAATTTTGTCACGTCAATTTCACTTGGGGAGGGGTCAATAGAAAAAGAAAACAGAACTCATAACATGTATCTCCATACTCCTGCTCATTTTGATGGTTATTAAGCAATACTTTTTTAAGAAGAGCTTTCAGTCAACTAAATAATAAAGTCAACATCTCTTTTTCCCCCCTTTTTAACAAATAGCTTAAGAAATAAGTGCAGGAACACCAAACAACATCCATACATTAGGATTCAAAAAAAACTTACTTAAAGGAATGTCCATGGGAACCTTTTTTAAATATATTCAACTCTTGTAAAATAGTAGGGATGTGTTTAGAAAGACTGAAAAATATTTTGTTTTTACCTTCTGAATTTTATATAAAAGGTATAACAATACATGGTATAATTCTCAAAGTACTGTATGTTCTCAGGTTCAATGCCTCAAAGATAAAAGGAACAACTTTTAAATACAGGTGTTTAGAGGAAAATGTCTACATGAATAGGTTTACAAAAGTCAAAGAAAGATAATTCCCTGGCACCTGTTTATTTTCAAATCCAAAATTTTGTATTCTGTCCTAGTGGGGAGGGAGAGAGGTGTCCTATAATTATGAGGATTTGAGGAAGTTTCAGAATTCAATATACCTCCTCTAAACGGCCAACTGAACTTTGATAATTAAATCTAAGTATATTAAGTTTATTATTAATGCTCCCATATGACTGGAATAATTTATAATATATTGACTTCCTATGAACAGTTCATAAAAAGAATCTGTAACTTAGTTTTCCACATAAGTATTATACTTATTAATTAGGCCTTGATTATAATTCAGTGAACACCTTAAGACCTATGAAACAAGATACATGGTCTCACCATGGAGTTATCAAAATCATCCACGAAAAGTTTGATAACTGTATATGGTTTTCATGTAAAGGGGTTGGGAAATCCAGTGACCACTTACATTGTTTAACTTCTAATGAAAAAAGGAGAAATTAAGCAGTTTACATCGTTGCTTAATTTGTCCCACTGTGTTGGATTTTTAAAAATGGTTACCTTAGTATATGGGATTACTTATGTGCCATATGGACAGGGGTATTTAAACATAAAAGAAGGATGTCACTGTTAACTTTTTATTTCCTTATTTCATTATTTTGTGACAGGGCCATAAAATATCCTCCAGTGCAAACTGTCACACTATGTTAATTGCTCCAAGTAAAAGTCTTAGTTAAAAACAGTAATCTGCATGTTTATTATTTTTAAGCTACGACTGAAGTGCTCCTCTTCTTTATGAGGGTGGGGAATCTAGGCAAAGAGGGGGATTCAGCCCAAATCAAACCTCACCTTCTGAATCATGAGCCAGATCTCTGTTAATGAATTTTCTTTTCCTGACATTTGTTGGTTTCTCGTTACAATTTCTCCCACGCTGATTCTACAAAGGGAAAGATAAAATCCTTTAAAAGAATGTAAACCTCCAGAGTCACACATACAAAAACACATGCATACGTAACGTCTACAGAATCCTCTCTCTAAATAGAAAAATTAAAGTCTATCATATCAATTCTAATATTCATTTTCTGCATTCATTTCACAGTGAAAGCTTATGCTGAGAATTCAACAGCCAGGAAGGAAGAGTTGCTTCCCAGTGTCGATCCTAACATACTATTTACTAATCATATATTCATGGCATCTCAGCATCAAAACATTAAGCAATTACACTTCAAGTCAATTTTAAGCTGGATCAGAGCTAGATTAAAATACAATAAATTTTATTCTGATACTCCCCACTTAAAAAAAAAAAAAAAAAAAAAAAAA